ATGAGTTATGTACAATATAATGGATGATAATGATAAAAGAATAAATTAAGTAAAGACTAACTGAATAGATTTTCTATGAATATGAACAGCACGATTAATTCTTTGACACATCACGTGTGTTTTATGATAAGTAGGAATTTGAAGCGTATGTTGAGTGACTGTTCTCTCGATTAAGTTACTGCAAACAATTTTTATATAATTAATGAACAATTCAAGATGCATTATTTTCTCTTCAACAAATTAAAAAATACGCAAATACCTAGCGATTTTAAAAGTGGCGCAACAATGCCTGATGAGCGCAAACGATAATGTTCCCGTTGAAAGAATTGTAAATATTCCAATTAATATTGTTATGATTTCATATATTAAATAAACATAAAAATACTGTTCCTCGTCAATAAAAAATTCAAAATCTATTTTTACTTTACGTGGTCGAGATTTATTCATCGGTGTGACAGCGTCAAGGACGACTGGTATCAATTCAATAATTATAATAAAAAATATAGCAAATGCGACGACAACTGGAAAAGTAAAATATAACAAGATGACATACAATTTTGTTTAATTAACATAAGTAAACAGATACAAGTTTCAAACAGAGAAGTATATATTGAATATTATATAATATAATTCATTTTATAATTTACTTACAACTTAAAATTAGTGACAAAAGACGATTTTCATTAGCGTATTTCTCTAATATTCTAATTTCACTATTATCTTCGATTGAATTCCAGTCCAATTTTATTTGTTTTAATAAATATTTCATCTATCATTTAAAAAATTAATGCTTGTGAAATTCCTCTTATTTATGTGAATTAAAAATTTCGAGGTATATATAAAAAAAGGCTCCTCCATAAAAATAAAATTACAAATAGTATAATACTTACTCCTTTAGAATTAAAATAATAAGAGTTATAAGTTACAATATATAATAAGGTAATGAAAATATATGACAGTTCTTTAAAAATAAATTCCAAGTTGCACGTTGTTGTTAAAAAAGTCGTAAACTGCAATACATAAGTATGACAACAATATATTGAATTTATGTAAAGGAGAAAGTGGTATATCATTGCACCTCATTTACATTTTGTACAATAATTTGATTAATAATTAACATTTAAATTTAAAACTTGACAATTATATTTATCAAAAAGTCACGGAGAGAAAAAATTTGATATGAATGCTAATTTTATGCCATAATGGTAAATTCCATTTGTAAATATATGGATATATTATTTATAGATGCATATTATTTCTAGGTTTTAGAAATATTTGTTCTTTTTTTGTACTCGTAAGAAAAATTATTTGCAGTAAATGCAAAATATTTATCAAATATGCAAATTTGTTTACTATAAACAGCAAACAAATTTGACAATTAAATTTTGTAATCCTGCGTTCACAGCAAAATCATTTTTCTCCGTGGTTATTCAATTGATTCTAGACTCAAAGTTACGAAACAGTCATTATTTAGAATGCTATTTGTAAAAATGTGGCGACGTTGCATAACATCTCGATGAGAACAATGGTGATAATATGGTCTTCCACAAAAACAGATTTAAAAAAGTTAGTTTTTTTAAAAAATAGTATTTGGTTACACACACACACACACACACACACACACACACACATACACACACACATACACAAAATTAATAAAAAAGTAAAATATTGTATAAATGTATATATTCAAATTATGCAAATGCCATGTATACGTATTCACATAATTCCTTCTGCATATAGGCTGCTTAGTGCTAAAAATTTATATACATGTAATATAAACTACAGACTAACAGTAGAGCTAAAATTAAATTATAGAAACATTATTTTGATATGAAAACTTCAAAAAAGAGGCCGCCAACAAACAGCAATCCCTCAAAAGGGACCATCACATTAGCAAATGCTATACTATCGTTTAACTTTGCATAAATCGAAATATATTCAATCAAATAAAATGTAAAATAACCAAGAATACACTCAAATATATATTCATGAGATAATTAGTTCAAATTTAAAAAAAGAGGAAGTATTTGTAATTAAATGTTAAATTGTATCTTAAAAACGTTTCAAAATGCTTGAAAGTAAAAATGCGTTATAATAAATGTTGATTATTAGCATATTAGAAACATAATGTAAGAGCGAACTACTAAGCAAATAATTTCATAAGTAATCATTAGAATTCGCCACTTAATAGCGGAGATATTAAGAGGGGCCAATATATCTACACTGATCATAATACCACCTTCTCCTCAAAGAATCATTCAAAGAAGTGTGAGAAGAAAAGGGTTATGAAATACCTGGAATAAAAGAATGAAACAATATGCGCCAAGGAAGAACACAGATTGTACTTGCATAATAATCGGCGTTTGATAAGGCCACAAACCAATCATTGTTAACATAATCCGATAGATATTGTAATAACGTTCGCCAGAAAAGACCATCTTACTTAATAGACGGAATACGTGTGAATGGAAATGTCGCGGAATTACGGAATAACATCGTACTGAATATTTTTTAATTTTCCGCAAACCATCTCTCGTAGGAGAAAAATATGTGGTAGGCTATGTAATTTAATAATTTTCTATAATATTACGCAGTGAGAACAAAAAGTGCTATAATTTCGGCAACCATTTGAAATAATGACACGCTAATTTGCAAACGACTATATTCGCGGCAATTGTCAATGTTATAAGAAAATATACCTCTCATTACGTTCTTATAGTTTGGATAGGCGCAGATCGAAGTAACTTGCCACGAGATTGTAGTTGACACACCAACTCATCCAGTCAACAAACAGTTTTATATTAAATCAACTGAATACGCCTTATAGTGCAAGATATTAGATACTTAGATCTTCGAAAGCAATCTTCTCTTTTAAATGTTTTATTATTATACATGGATTACATGCATATATATTTTATTCGTTTTTCGATAAAGTCAGTAATGTTTACTAGGATTCAGACGTTCGGGCACGATTATGAGGTACGGAGAACCGTCACGAGCAAGAGTGAATCGAGTACTTGTTGAAGTGCAGTAGCAACATTTTAACTGACGTGTGGTCTACTCAATATAAACATAAAGCGCGCAACGGTTCTTCGCATATCCCGTGAATGTGCTTAAACGTTCGAATCCTAATGATTGCATTATGCTTTGAATAGAATATAAAAGGATGTTCTGACGTAAGAGATAATGTAGATTTTCTTTAAAGTCTCCTTCAATTGTGATGATATTGATTCCAGAAAGTGCAGTATAATTTTAATATAAGAAATAATTATGTAGGTAGGTATATGGGTTTATATTAACATTATCATGAAATTATTACAATGTATTAAATCCTTATAAACTTCTTATAATTCATCTTACAATTAGAAATGCATTTCGGTAATTTCTACTTGATAATAACGATATTTTTAAATGTATTTTAGAAAAAAAAATTGTATAGAAAGAAATTCATATGTGCAAGTAAAATGTTCACTATAAAATTAGAAATTAGCAATTTATAAGATAATTCTAGTCTCAGTCTTCTAGATTTTACGAAATTATTAAAAAATTTACCAAGACAACATTTGACGTGCTGTAAACAATTGCGAAATTATGTACGAACATTATAGATAAACTGTAATATTTTAATTATAAACTACGTACTTCCCAATTTTTCCAATTTGTAGATATATTGAACTTTATGGGTAATCTTTTTCATATACAGGGTGTCCCTCAACTTTTGGCAAAGCGCTATTGTGTAAATAGAGCGTCCTAAACTGAGTTAAAAAGTACTTTACCATTTTGCAATTTCCGAAATGGTTAACGAGATATTAATTTATGAAATTAGACAAACTCGCTCGGATTACCGCCAAATGCAAACGGGCAGCGAGATAAGTTCGCCCAGAAAGACAAGCGTTTGCTGTCTCTAGGCACGTTAATGCAAATGACGCTTGTAAACAACTTGTCTAGCGACGAAGGACGTGCATCTTTCTGGGAGGCCTTATTTTGCCGCGTGCTTGCATTTGGCGGTAAGAGCGGGCAAATTTGGCTATTTTCATAATTTAATATCTCGTTAACCATTTCGAAATTTGCAAAATGCCAGAGGACTTTTTAACTCAGTCTTAGTCCGCTCTATCTATACAAAAGCAATTTATCAAAAATTGTGGGACATCCTGTATAAGAAGAGGATTTATTATTTTCAATTAAACGTACGTTACAGTAGGTTGAAAATTCTCATGAAAACATTGGTGTAATGAGATATATTTTAATAAATTTTATTGTTCATTCAGTGTTTTCTGAAATAAATTGCATCATTATTTATTGATGGGACGAGAAAAAATAAAGTACACGGTGAAAATAAACTTTGGCATTGACCAGTATATTAATTTGTATTGCACAAGCCCTTGAACAGTAACAATCCGAATTAGAGTAAAGATAAAGAATATGTCCTAAATTAAAGAAAAGATTAATCTCAGATGTTCTCCGGTCGAATATTTGCGGTATCTTAGCATTCGCTGCACAGTAAAACCGCGCAGTACGAATCATATCTTAGTATAATGATTGATAGATATATCATTTCCGCTTGCATGTATTATAGGTATGTTAAGTGCTAAAAATTAAAAATATTTTTGACTTTAATTTAAATGCTGCTAATGATACATCATATATTTAAATTTAATATAATAAAGTTTATGATTTGTTTGAGCGTATAATTACATACCTAGAAATTTGTAATGATCGTCTGTTATTAATACGTGCAAGTATTACTACATTCACTGTTCGATAAACAATTAAAACTTCCGTTTTATATTATTTCATCGTCGTAGTATACATTACAGTAAAGTATGATACTGCTGCAGTTATAAGCTGAAAAAATAATATAACTTTTGTAAAGCAATCATCAAGATTTGATTGTTGCAAACAGTGTTATGTAGCATTATTGTCTTTTTAAATACGCAGTAAATACAATAAAAAAGATAAAGTAAAATTTTTCCTAGACACAATAAGTTTAGTGTTCACTATAAAGTATTTATTACTGTAGAAAATCCTTCTAGAGATGTTACAAAAATATGACCAAGTGTTAGGGTGTGAGTTTTCAGAGAATTTTGCATCACAAATAAAAGCAATTTTTGTATAGATATTGGAGCTAAATACCACATTGTATTGTACCTATAAATTTATAAAAATGTTAGATTTGGCATTATTTATAACACTCATATTTGCTTGTGCTTGCGCATTTATATTGTACGTAGCTTGCATTTTTCATTCATTTAATAACAAATATTATAAGTATTGTATACACAAAATGTGCACTTGATATCTGAGACACTACAACGTAATCTGATATCTATGTATAAATATCCGTAAATGCGTGCGTACGTGCGTGCGTGCGCGCTATGTACTTAAAGATGTCATTAAATGAAAGTAGCAACCACAACAATAATATTATAAAATTATAATTCTACATTTTCATCTATGGCTGGATTATCTCGTCGATTTCTGCTTACATCAGCAATATTGTTCAACAGAGCACTGCTGCGATATTTAGTTATAAAGAAGCCTGGTGGTTGTTATTCTGCTGAAACTCTACGCATATATGTACACAAAGGCGCATGTGCAGTATGTATGGACATTCATACTTTGCAAATACATATAAGTATACGCGACGTACAAGTGCTCGTGTAGGAAAACGCGACGAAAGAACGGATTACATAAAAGAAGCGTTCAAATCTATTCAGCAACTAGCCATAGAAGTATATTGTCCACTGAAATGTTTTATCAGAGATGCAAAAACTACACATCACAAAAATTCAAGTAAATTTACAAAAAAGATTATTTCATACAAGTCGTGAGGGATGCTTTGAATATGAACGTTATAAATACGAAGATACTCTATGACCAAAAGTATATTTCTTTCTCTCATTTTATGAAACAATAGGTTGCCAAATACTTATTTTTAACAGCACAGCGACTTCCTGTGGACGTCTTGCCAACTAAATGGGACGTCCAAAGGATGTCCTGTTGTAGTCCAAGTGGAGACATTCTGTGGACTATAAAATGAGCGCGTCATTACGTCCTACTACATCCACAGGACATCCAAATCCGAAGTCCTAAAGAAGTCCATCCATAATCTTTGGGATAATTCTATTATTTCGCATACAGCACAAACATCCAAGAGATGTCCTGAAGACATCCTAAAGACGATTGCACGATATCTCTCAGATAAAGTGTGATGATTTGCAAAACTGAAATATTTTACAAAATATTATTATATTCGTTAACTTAGTTGATACAAAAAAAAGTACAATCACATCTTGCACTAAGCACATACGAAAACTTAGTATGAATAATTATGACATGTCTGAGCTTACATATACCTGTTTGTATAGAAAATTTTAAATGCGAGAGTCAACACCATCTAGCGAACCCAAAATATTAGAAAAATCCAAAAATAGATCCCACGGATTACAGACGAACACCCTTAGAACTTCTTATTTTTACATCTTATATGGACGCAAAGACGCAGGATATAATCAGGCGCTCATTTGATAGTCCACAGAATGTCCTCAGGAGGTGCCGGGGATCTGTTATGGAGGTGTTTATGGCATTTTTTGGCGCTTATTTATTAAGGCTAAGGACATTCTAAAATTTTCATCTTGTTAGTATAAAGTCCTAAATATATCCCGTACATGTCGCAGGATATTTAGGATGTATTCAGAATCATCCTAAGGACATTTCGTGCTGTTAGTGATGAAAATTTTATTCTAAAATAATAATGTCTCTCTAAACATTATCAATCTAATTTAAAAAACAGATTATTCAACATTTAAAAAATGGATTATTAAAATTCATGACTATATTTGGAAGGCATAGTAGTTCAGAAATTGATAGAAAATATCATACGACATGTAAAAATTGACTTCGTATAAATGAATTGATTTCGTTCTCATTAGAGATTTTAATGTACATACGATACTTACGAGGCATTAAATATTTCTGCACTATGATCGGAAATTGACTGTCCAGCAAAACAAAATACAAACAACATAATAATATGACCTGTTACCATACAGATACACATTACTATTTCGGAAAACTCATTCGAAACAGTTAATGAATTATACAACTGTAAAAATATGTTATATTACTTCTCATATATTTCAATTTATACATAACAGACAAATTCATAATTATAAAAATTGAATTAAATATAAGACAGAAAAAATGTAATACTTACATAAGTACATTACTTACTCGAAAAAAATTACAACTTAAAGACATTACGCAGATTGTCATTAAAGTGAAATGCCATTTGTTCATAAAATTCATAAAAAATGTAGAAAACCTTTAATAGTGAAGAAAAATCTAATTCATATCCTTGAGTTAAGTATATTAAAAAATGAGATTTTTTAAAAATTAAAATTAATGTGCGTTATGTAAAGTAGATAGTAATGTTAAAAGAATATGTAAAGACTAACTGAATGGATTTTCTATGAATATGAACAGCACGATTAATTTTCTGACACATCACGTGTGTTTTCTGACAAGCAGGAATTTGAAGTGTATATTGTGTCACTGTTTTTTCGATTAAGTTACTGCAAACAATTTTTATATAATCAACAAAGAGTTCAATATAGATTATTTTCTTTAGTAAAATTAAAAGATGGACACATACCTAGCGATTTTAAAAGTGGCGCAACAATGTCTGATGAGCACTAACGATAATGTTGACGTTGCGAAAATGGTGAATATTTCAATTATTAATGTTATGATTTCATGTATTAAATAAATATAAAAGTGCTGTTCCTCATTGATAAAAAATTCAAAATCTATTTTGACTTTACGTGGTCGAGATTTGTTCATCGGTGTGACAATGTCAAGAACAACTGGTATCAATTCAATAATTATAATAAAAAATATAGCAAATGCGACGATAACTGGACATTGAAAATAACAAGATGACATACAACCTCGTTAATTACCATAAATAAACAGTAAAAGTTTCAAACAGGTATATATTAAAAACGTTATATATTATCTACTTCATAATTTACTTACAACCTAAAATTAGTGACAGAAGACGATTTTCATTAGCATATTTCTGTAATATTCTAATTTCACTGTTATCTTCGATTGAATTCCAGTCCAATTTTATTTGTTCTAACAAATATTTCACCTATCATTTAAACAATTAATGTTTCTGAAATTCTTCTTATTCGTGTGGTTAAAAATTCTCGGGATAAAAAGGCTCTTTCATGAAAATAAAATTAAAAATAGTACTTACTTCTTTAGAATTAAAATAATAAGAGTTATAATTTATAAAACATAATACGGTAATGAAAATATATGACAGTTCTTTAAAAATAAATTCCAAGTTGCACGTTGTTGTCAAAAAAGTCGTAAACTGCAACACATAAGTGTTAACAATATACCAAGTGATAACGATATATCGAATTTATGTAGATGAGAAGATAGTATATTATGGCACTATATTTTCATGTTGCACAATAATTTGGTTAATAATCAATATGTAAGACAATCTTGCGTGTGTGTGTTTCGCGGGTTTTCTCCGTGTTCAGATCCATTCTTGGAATGCCAACGTTTCGTGAACCTTGCAGTCCACTTCATCAGGGCGAGAAGCAGCCTGATACTGTATCAGCCTCATACTGTATCAGGCTGCTCCTCATCCTGATGAAGTGGACTGCAAGGTTCACGAAACGTTGGCATTCCAAGAATGGATCTGAACACGGAGAAAACCCGCGAAACGCAAGATTATCATGTAGGAAACACCCGTGGAAGCCTCAAGAATATTAATCAATATTTAAATTTAAAACTTAACAATTATATTTATCAAAAAGTTGTTCAATTGATTCTAAACTCAAAGTTACGAAATATTCATTACTTAGGACGCTATTTATAAAAATAGCGACATTGCATAACGGCTCGATGAGAAATAGAGATGGTGATATCGTCTTTCACAAAAATAGATTTAAAAAGTTGGTTTTTTTTAAAACAATATTTAGTTACAAAATTAATAAAAAAGTAAAATATTGTATGAGTGTATACAATTCAATTATGCAAATGTGTACTCACATAACTCCTTCCGCATATGAATTGCTTAGAGAATACTAAAAATCTATATACATGTAATAGAAACTGTAAATTAACAATAGAGCTACAATCAAATTATTTTGACATGAAAAATTATTTTGATATAAAAACCTAAAGAAAGTAGCCGTCAACAATCAGTACTAAGAAAAGGAGCCACCACATTAACAAAATGCTGTACCATCATTTAACTTTGCATGACTCGAAATGTATTCAGTCAAATGTAAAATAACAAAGAACACACTCAAATATATATTTGTGTGATAATTCGTTCAAGTTTAAGAAGAATGAGGAAGTATGTGTATTTAAATGTTAAAGTGTATCTTAAAAACGTTTCAAAATGCTTGAAAGTAAAAATGTATTATAATAAATGCTGACTATTATGTATTAGCATATTAGAATAATGATATAAGAGCGACTCACTGAGCAAATAATTTCATAAGTAAAATTAAAATTTGCCATGTAATAGCGGAGATATTAAGAGCAACTAATATATCTACATTGGTCATAATACTACCTTCTCTTTAAAGAATCATTCATAGAAGTTTTGGGAAGGTCCCAGATGCGCACAAAAAATATGGGACACAGCAGGATGTTCCAATCGGACACAGATTGAAAGGAACATTCGACAACTTCCATCGAACACAATTCCAATCGGACACAAGTTGAAACGGACACACGACGGTCCCAATCGCGCGGACACAAGTTAAAACGGATACACGACGATTCCATTCGGACACAAGTTAAACGGGTAAAAATTCTCACATCCCGAATTCCGAATGTGTTTTTAGTGCCTCTAAAAAGACTGTTCTCACCCCATTATCTTCATGGGTTAAAAATATTCCAAGCGGACACTGTCTGCAATTTCCACGCGGTTAGGCCCCAAGCGGGTAGGATATGTTATTTTATTTTTGTTCGGGGCGACTTAGTCACCCCGAATCTGAGCACTACTATCCACACACCCCATTGTTTACATGGGTTACAATTTCGCAGTGTGGCTGTGACAGATTTCCTAACCTCAATAGTCTTCAACTTTAACGCTTAATATCTCGATTCGCGGGGCAGAGCGACGCTTATTTCTGCCAGATTCTTTCGTTTCATGCAAAAACGTATCGAATAAGCCTAATTTTATTGATTTTTGAGATGACCGAGGTAGATTGTAGCTTTACTCGGTTTAACCTGTGTCCGATTGGAATCATCGTGTGTCCGTTTTAACTTGTGTCCGATTGGGATCGTCGTGTGTCCGTTTCAACCTGTGTCCAATTGGAACTGTGTCCGATGGAAGTTGTCGTTTGTTCCTTTCAATCTGTGTCCGATTGGGACTGTGTCCGATTGGAACAACCTGCTGTGTCCGATAATTTTTGTGCGCATTTAGAACTCTCCCGAAGTTTTAAGTGTAAGAAGAAAAGGGTAACGAAATACCTGGAATAAAAGAATGAAACAATATGCGCCAAGGAAAAACACAGATTGTACTTGCATAATAATCGGTGTTTGATAAGGCCACAAACCGAGCGCTGTTAACATAATCCGATAAATGTTGTAATAACGTTCGCCAGAAAAGACCATCTTTCTTATTAGACGGAATACGTGCGAATGGAAATATTTTAAATGTGGAATTACTTAATAACATCGTACTGAATATTTTTTTATTTTCCGCAAGCTATGTATCTCTTGTAGGAGAAAAACATGTGGCAGGCTATGTAATTTAATAATTTTCTATAATTACGCAGTGAAAACAAAAAGTGCTATAATTTCATCAATCATTTGAAATAACGGTATTCTACGTTAAAAACGACTATTTTTGAGACAATTATCAATGTTATAAGAAAATATATCTCACATTATGTTCTTATAGTTTGGACCGGCGTAGGTCGGAGTAATTTGGCGCGAGAGCGTAATTCAAACAGTATAACAAACTTCAGTGGACGAACAAATTCTTTCTCGAAGCAATTAAAAGTATTTTATAACGTAAAGTATTAGAAGCTTTTCGAAAGGAATCTTCTATTCTAAATGACGTATTACATGTCTTGTACACTGAATCAAATCTTTACGTAAATACAATAAAATATTCATTGAATTATGAAAAAATAATGAAAATTGGTCCAAATGAATTTTCATAATGATTTAGGTTATAAAACTATTACTAGAATTCATTGCAAGAATGAATATATAATTATATAAATGAATCCAGTTACTGTATCAATAAATTAACCATATTAAGTCGGACATTGATTAACGATCATTCATTGGATTAAAAATGACTAAAATTTTTTTCAGTGTACGCATATATTTTATTTGTTTCTTGTAAGAGTCGGTATTGATTATTAACGTTCGGGCAATCTCGTAGCACACGCGAAAAATCGCTGTTCGCGAATTGAGTCAGGTGCTTGCTAAAGTAAAGTAGCAACATTTCAACTGGCATGCTGTCTATTCAACATAATCAATGCACTCCGCGATTCTTCGCGCGCGTCCCGTGATCATGCCCAAATTTAATTCGCGAATTCTATTGATTACTTTGCCTTGCATGATATAAAAGGAAGTTCTGATGTATAAAATACTGTAGATTTTCATTAAAGTCTTACTTTCAATTATGGTAATATTGATTCCAGAAAGTGCAGAACAATTTTAATATATAGGAAATAATTATGTACGAGTATGTGCTTATTTCAACATTATCATGAAATTATTATGTGTTAAACTCTTATAAGCTTCTTACAATTCAATTTCAGGAACTTCTTACAATTCAATTTCGGGTGTTTTGATAATTTCTACTAATTATGTGTTTTGATAATTTCTACTAATACGTATTATATTGATATTTTTTAAATATAACTTAGAGATGTAAAATAAATTTGTACAGTAAAAGTCATATGTGCAGATAAAACGTTTAATATCTACATAATTGAAAAATAGCATTTTTTGTAAAATAACTCTTCGCGAATTTTTATAAAATCACTAATAAAAGGTTTAATAAGACGATACTTGACGTGTTGTAAACAATTACAATATTAAGTACTAACATACATAAGCCAAAATATTATTTATAATTACGTACCTCGCATTTTTTTCAATACATTTATTAAATTTCTCTTGTAACATTGCATGTGTACTAGCATGATAAAGAATCAGCGATGTTACATCGCTATTGTATAGAATAAAGTAGTGTTAAGTACGACAATGATGTGGTAAATAGCTATAAAAATATAGTCTTCTTTCTATATTTCTAATTTCAGAATTAGTTTCGGAATTAATTCTAATTCTTATAGTTAATTAATTGAATTATAGTAGATTTAAATTTTGAAAATTATGCAAAATTATGCAAAAATTAAATTTTGTTTTTAAATAATTTACATCTTCTGAGAGAGAGAGAGAGAGAGAGAGAGAGAGAATTGAGATATACATATATTACCGTGGCAAATCCTTCCAGCGATCCCACAAATACACTACAGATAGCTGGTTTATATTTTTTTATTGTACGAAGCATTAAAAATAAAAATATTTTTTGCGATGATAATGGAGCAATGTACCACAATGCATTACATCTGAAAAATTCAAAATACATTAAATTATATATATATATATATAGTTAAACATAAAATATGTTTATGATTAATTAATCAATATTTCTCTGTGCATTATTCTCTGTACAAAACTTACATTTTTATTTTTATATGTTTTAAGTTCATTTTTTTTTTAAATTAAATTATACTACTTGCTAAAATGTTACAAAAAAATGTTACACTTAATGTTTTGATAAATACTCACGTTGCATTAAAAAAATCGTCATTATGATCAGTTACTATTTGTGCGCCATAATTGGCCCCAAACATATAAATAAGATGACACGTTATGATTGATATAATTGATAACATTTCTGCTACGTTCTGTCTCGTAGACGGTAGAAGCAACTGCAGTGTTATTACAATACAATAAGATGTTTGAATGTGATTGTTTAACACACTAAATATATGCAAAATTTATTTATGTAATTAATTTAAGCAAAGTTATTAAATACTGTACTTACATAATACAAATTAATGCTCATGGAAATAACGCCAGTTACAATTAAAATAGCAAATGGTACCGTAAAAGATGATATAATTAGATCAAAGAATCTTTAAAAAAGAAATGAAAGGTTTTATAGTGAAAAATCATTTTGTGTTATCTCATTAATATTTTCGATAAATATTATCTTAACTAAAATGCTATATGTATAATAACGTAAATTAATATATATTTAAAAATGCTATAAAAATATTATTGTAATAAAAATTGTTTTATTATAAATTTGTAATAATTAGGGAAGTCCGGGGCTAGCAGACTCATTTTTCAGTTTCGAATTTTTACAGACAAAATTAAAAGACTTATAAAAAAAATGAATTCTACACCAGTTACAACATACATTTGATTATCTAATAATATTTTAATAATACGGGGAATCTGATAACAAATATGAAAAAATGCATTTTTATAATGCATTCCATCTGGTTTAACTAGCCCTGAGACCGGGGTAAGGTGACTAATGGTATGGGGTAATTTGACTAACAAGGGAATCGTCGGAACTGTCCCTCATCGATTTTGATGGGCTTTGGATATGTTGTAGAGTCTATAAAAAAATATTAGATCCATATTTTTTTTATCAGTGTATCTCAAGGTTTAGAGGGTGAAACACCCCCTCGAAAAAAATGGATTTTATCGTTTTTAGCAAATATCTTCGAAACTATGCGATATATTAAAAAATGTTTAATACAAAAGTTTTATGCTCTATATTTTGTGCTCTATATAATGATGTATTCAATTTTTCTTAATATCAAATTTTGTAACTTTCCCCTATCCCCACTCATTAATTTTCACCCCCTAAACCTTGAGATACGGTGATAAAAAAAATATGGGTCTAATATTTTTTTATACTCTACAACATATCCAAAGTCCACAAAAAAATCGATGAGGGACGGTTCCGACAGTTCCCTTGTAAGATTATTAAAATGAAAATTAATGTATCTTAAGCTATACATCTTTGGCTACATATTAATAAAACTTTTATAAAAACATATTTTAAACACAAACATTCGCGTCGGGGCAAAACAATGCTTCTTTTTGCTAAATTCGTTCGTTTCGTGCAAAAACACATCGAATAAGCCTAGTTTTATTGAGATTGACGTGAGGGAATTAAATTTATAACATTTACCACTGAGGTAAATCTCTTTAAAGGAATGAAATATTGAGTAAATATTATAGGAGTCGTTATTAAATGTGTCATACTGCCCCATGCTGTAATTAGCCTACTATCCGTTCATTTTTTAAAAACATTAACAGTATACGATAACAAAGACAGATAAACAAAAAAATCTGTTGGACTTTACTAAGCAAGAACTTACTATCTAAATAGAAATCAAGTATCTCAGACAATCATATACGATTGTAAAACAAAAACTTTAAGAATAAAAGTATTTTTACTTAAGCCGCGTACAGACTTGTATCAGAACGCCGTTGCGAACCGTTCGCGAACGCCATCGCGAAGAAGACGGCGTGCAGTATGAATGGTGTCTCGAACTCTACCACGAACATCACCGCACGCATAAAGCCCGATCTACGTAAGACGCAGAACGGGGTTCGCAGGTCGCAAAACTAGGAACTTAACCTAAACGCAGGGAGCAGAAAGTTGAAGTTCATCCAACTTTCTGCATCCTGCGTCCTACAAGCATACTATGATTAAAATACGTTAGGTTAAGTTCCTAGTTTTGCGACCTGTGAACCGCGTTCTGCGTCTTATGTAGACCGGACTTAAAACCACGTACAGACTTGTAACTGAACGCCGTCGCGAATGTTGTTGCGAACAAGAGCAGTGTGGATGTCTCAAACGCTGCCATGAACATCGGGTAACACCGCGTAACATCGGGTCTATCGGCCGAGAATCGGTTTTTCGACGCCACATCAAAGAAATGTTCGCATTAGCCGTATACAGACTTGTATCAGAACGCTGCCGCGAACGTTGCCGCGAACAAGATGGCGCGCAGCGGCGCTAGTGTGGACAGTGTCTCGACTATCTCGAACGTCGCCGTGAACATCGGACCCTCCTGCCAAGATCACAAGGAGTCAATTTTTCCGAGGGAATAACCACTTAATGTAATCGTGAGACAGAGTCCTTAAAATTATTACAAAATTCATATGAAATCTCTATGTATCCGATAATTAATTACACATGCAATCACGAGAAATCATTGTATAATATTAAATAAAATAAATATATTTTACCAAATTACTTCATATGTAATGAAAAAAATTGTTTGTAATCATGTGAAATCATATGAAATCATGCAATCTGTGGGACAATATTTCAACTAGTGGTTACCTCCTCGAATTTTTCATCACCAAACAAATCGTCGTAGTATACTATGATGTAATTTATTTATATAATGTACTTTATTGGTTAGAGATGGTGTTACACAAACCATGCTTAGCGCCGAGATACTATCGTGTCTCCAGATGATTATAAATGTGGGTTCCGGACTTGGACAAATTTCGCAAACTAATAAAAATGGAACGCGGCGACGTTCGCGATGAGGTTTGTGACTGTTCAGGGGGTGCGACGGCGATTACAACAAAGGTAGCATCGACGCGACAGCGTTCGTGACGGCTTTCGCGACGGCTTTCGCGACGACGTTCTGATACAAGTCTGTACGCGGTTAGGTGTACGATTTTTTAAAATTGTAGTGTAACTTCTATCGTAGATGTGTTCGCAACGAGATGTTACAGCAAACTGAGCGACAGTCGCTGTTATGTACTCAGACACGTTAACGCGTGTCTCGTGTGTTTTAATGTAGCCTCGATTATTCTACTTACCCCTATAGTCTACTGACCCCGGTCTCCCTTACTCTCTCCTTTAAATACTAAATTAATTTTGCATATTAAATATATCTTCATTTTTTCATGCAATTTGTTAAATTATCGATAAAAATAACGTATTGTAGATCGTGTTTTAATCCTTATTTTATAATTAATACTTAATCAACTTAGTAAACAAATCCACAATATAATAATCATTTTCTGTGATATTTAATACATATAAAAATGTATAAGTAAACATCATCTATATCTACAATTTTAATTATCTTTTCTCTTACAACGCTTATTATTATAAATTTAATCTGGTACGCACTTTAGAATCTTCCTATGCAAATCTACAACATGTATTATTCTACTGCAGATTATACGTTCCATTCGAGGGCTGGAATTTCGCAGCGTGTTTTTGTCTAACACACGTTCTATTCGAAAACTAAGAACTTTTTTTAATCGATCAAACAATAATTTCATTATAGATTAATTCGTAATTAGATTTTCTCACCTAATAATTTTTAGCATTCCACAAGTATGTTGCGCATAAGCTAAAGTTATTGTACCAGTAGCAATAATTGTAAAGCCTCCTGCGGTAAACGCGAAAATTTCGTGTATTAACATAAGAAGAAAATACTTTTTAGGATCGATAAAATATTCCATCGGCACGTATGTAGTATGTTGTCGAGATTCATTCAATGGTACAACAATATCGAGTAAAATAGGCAAGAATTCCGTAAAGGTAAAGATGATTATGCTGATACATAATAATACTACGAAATATTAAAATAAAATAATCTTTTAAGTGAGTTTCCCAATTGAATATATATCACCGAAAAAATCCTATTCTGTATTTGAATAATTCCGTTTAAAGCTATCCTCTAAACAAATATTCTAACAAATTTAGAATATTTCTCTATAAATATCTTGTTAAGAATAATACCTGAGATAAAGAAAATACTCTAAAACATGTCGGTGCTTGATTAACAAATGATATTCGCGTCTTCGTGTTTACCAGTTCTGAAGAACCACTCGTCCGCGGCGGATGCCTCTCGGTTCGGGTGCTTTTATCTCGTATATTTTTGAAAGTGTTGTCGACTTAGACTGTGCCCTAAGAAACATATAGCTGTCCCGCGGTTTTGGACGACCCATCCGTTTGTCCTGACGGCGCATCCGACGTGCGGCGTGACGACATCATAGACGAAGACGTCCGGTGTTCGGACAGGCTTCGCCATTTTCGCGGGCATTGCATCACCTTTTTGTTTTTCTGATCGTATCGACCTCTGTTTTTATAATTTCGGGAGGCGTTATAATATATAATGCGCATTAAATAAAGAAGAAGAAGAAAAAAAAGAAGAAGAAGAAGAAGCCTTCGTGTTTACGCATGCATGTAAGTCCGCGCGTATTATACCATATCGTGCTGACGGTTTCGAGATTAAAGACATCGGGATAAAGCTTTTTGAATAAAGATTTGCTTTTTATTCCTGAAGTGGCTGCATTATAGTTTAGAGTTATTTATATTTTTTTCTCCGTTAGAAGGAAAAAACAAAATAACTAATGTGTTCGCGATCTCTATATAATCTATATAGTGTTGTTCATTGCAAAACATGGAAGAAGTGAAAAAGTAGTGAAAAAGTGAAAAAGGCTGCTTCAACACAATGTATCGGAACTAATCAGCCATTTTGAAAGCAAACGCAAATGGAAGTTTTGCAAGTGTACGTATCATATACATATTACGTATCATTTAACAAATAGTAGGACTCTTTATATGAAAAATAAAAAACAATAACTAAAGGGCAAAGTAAGAGTCAATACGTTAAAAATATAGTTTAAAAATTTGGTGAAAGCATAAAAAATTAAGTTAGATTCCGTCTGAATATAAATATAACATGTTTTTTATTTTTCATTTTATGCACGTAGTAGGTATGTCATGTACATACTACGTGCGTGCGTACGTGCGTTACGCTGAGTGTATGTGTAAAGATTAAAATATAATCTACTCCACAATAGAGGAATATTCTAAATAATTAGAATATCTTATTATAATAGAGGGAAATGCTCTAATTTTTATAATATATACTTGGCGCTTATTTTAGTAGAAAACATTCTGTAGTTTAGTCGGATATACTGAAATCTAGAATAAAATTTTTTCGGTATAGATTTCGGAAGAGTTAAATAAAATTCCTAAATATTGTTTCTTTCTTACGCATAAGAATAATTGTAAAAACATTTATTATATAAGCATATTTTTCCAATGTTTCGATTTCCTTCTTGTCATCTAAAGCGTTCCAGTCATTTTGTACTTCATCCATCAGCAACTTAACCTATAATCGCAATACTTAAGAGCTTCTGAATGATGTATACATATAATCGTTATATATATATATATATATATACAGGGTGTCTAAAAAAACGGATCGAAACACAATGGGGACGTAGATTGGATCAAGGAGAACAAAACAGTTTTGTACCATTTTGCAGTTGACGCAATATTTAACGAGATATTAACGTTTAAAGATAGGCGAATACAAGCGCCCGACTAGCCTACTCATGTACTGCTGCCGGCAGGACGGCCTACCGTCCCCACCGATCGCATGACGCGGCGGCCGCGAGTATTTGCCTATCTTTAAACGTTAATATCTCGTTAAATATTGCGTCAACTGCAAAATGGTACAAAACTGTTTTGTTCCCCTTGATCCAATCTACGTGCCCATTGTGTTTCGATCCGTTTTTTTGAGACACCCTGTATATACAGGATACCCGGCGAGACTTCTCCCACCGCTCACAGGAAAATAGATGGGATCGAAATAAACATAAAAGTCCTGTATCGTTTAGCGATATTCGTAATAATAATCGAAATATTAATGTTTGCAATTGTACCAATAAGAACGCGCCGATAGAAACGCTCCAGCCGCTCGAAGTATACTATAGCCCGGTCCAGCGGTGCGGTGAGACGTGTGAGCGGCGATGCCGGGCGCTAAGCAAAGGCGCGCTTCCCCTTCGCGCTTACCACTCCAACGCACTGCCGTCGCATCCATCGTTTGACTAAGCCGGGCGCGGTCTCATTGGTACAATTGCAAATATTAATATCTCGATTATTATTATGAATATCGCTAAACGGTAAAGGACTTTTATGTTTATTTCAATCCCATCTACCTTCCTATGGGCGGTGGGAGAAGTCTCGCCGGACACCCTATATATTAGCTTATATACAGGGTGTCCCAGAATAACTGCTAAGTGCTTCGTGCGCTGATAGAGAGGACTAAACTAAGTTGAAAAGTCCTCTACGATTCTGCAATTTTCGCAATAGTTAACAAAATATTAATTACTAAAAATCGCCGAATATTGGCCTTCAATAATTTTTTACTCAAGTACTATCAACTTTGCAAAAAAACAAAAATTGTTTATTTTCTTCTCATAGAGTTCTAAGAATTTTTTCAGAATTTTTTAGTATCGCATTTTCTCATGTTGATAAAAATAATTGCTAATAAGAAAATGCAGTACTAAAAAGTTGATAAGAAATTCTGAAAAAATTCTTAGAGCTCTATGAAAAGAAAACAAACAATTTGTGTATCCTGCTGTTTTTCACTGCGTTTTTACACCGAGGAAGGCTAAAAAGTTAGTCGAAACATGACGTCTATTAAGCTGGCACAGCCACTTCAGCACAATCAAATGCGACCTATACCACATTTTTTTGTTATTTTTTTACTAATTTTTTGCTCTATTCCCGATTTTTTGCACCAGCCGATTCGGTAAAACCCATGGCTGAGCTAGCTTAAGATCAAAGTTAGCACAGCCACAAAGAAAAAAAGCAGCAAATGAAAAATCAAGTACATATTCTTGAAGGTCTATTTTTTTGCTAATTTTTTGCTCTATTCTCGATTTTTTTGCTCATTGTTTCAGTCGAAAAATTCGACCAAGAGTGTGGCTGTGCTGACTCGCGTACAAGAGTAAAGTACCTTAAAGCAATTAATTGCTCGGCTCATTTTGGTGTCAAAATGTTTCTAGATTTAATTGCTCTAAGAATATCGCAAATCGGATTTTTTTGCTCCCCGTTTAAGTCGAAAAATTCAACCAAGAGTGTGGCTGTGCTAGCCCGCGTACAAGAGTAAAGTACCTTAAAGAATTAATTGCTTTAAGGTACTTTACTCTTGGTCGAATTTCTCGACTGAAACAATGAGCAAAAAAATCGAGAATAGAGCATAAAATTAGCAAAAAAATAGCCCTTCAAGAATATGTAATTGATTTTTCATTTGCTGCTTTTTTTCTTTGTGGCTGTGCTAACTTTGATCTTAAGCTAGTACAGCCATGGGTTTTAGCAAATCGGCTGGAGCAAAAAAATCGAGAATAGAGCAAAAAATTAGCAAAAAAATAGCAAAAAAATGTGGTATAGGTTGCGTTTGATTGTGCTAAAGTGGCTGTGCCAATTTAATAGACGTCGAAACATGTATGTGAGTTACTCAAATTTTAAGTATCAAACAAATAATTAGATGTTAAAGAAAAAATATACATATTTATTGCGTATCACCTATAGCACCAATTCCTAAAATCCATTTTATTAATATCTTATTTATTTTATTTTATTTCGGATTAACTGTATGGTTTTATTTGTTTATAGAAAATTCATAATATTTTCGGATACACAAAGAAAGATTGGCTGCTGCAGAAAATTAGATC